TCTGACTGGCGTATTTCGCTTAGCGTCGTACTCTCCAAGCCCCACCGTGCTGCCTGCGCTTCTTATAAGCACTTTTGTAGTTACGAAACAAAACAGGCTTGGGGTGAAGTTGATGCTTCCCCTGCCGCAGCACCCAAGGCAGAGAGAGTGACTAAAAGCTGAATGTTTCCTGAGGATCTCATAACCTACCTTGTAGACATAACTTCCTATGGGTTATGGCAATAATTCAGTATTTTCCAGGTCATGAAATGGACCTACTTTGTGTTCTAGATTATCGCTCTTAATAAAACAAAGGAACGAATGAGGCCTTACCAAAGCAATCAAGAAGATGAGGACCCAGACATCAAGAAGATTAAAAAGGTAAGACGCTGGGTGTTTTCGGCTGTGGAGGAGCACAGCCACCAGTTATCTGTTCTGTAATAATGCCTTTGCCACCCTGTCCTTGAGCTGATAACCTTGGTGTTTCTGTTCTAATGGCTCCCAGACTTGCCCTCCAGAGTGATCCAGACATGACTACTTTTCTGGAAAAGTTTCAACTTGAGATTTCTTTCCAGTCCTGAGAAACCCCTTTTGGACTCTGTGGGAAGGATGCTAAAACTGGACATTGAGATAATAGTGTTCTCCAGTTGGGTTAAGTGTTATTTAACCTCCTGATTTTGTACTGCTTCATATTTTGGGGGAGTGTTTTTTTAAATTACATTTCAAAAATATTTTTTTTTAGCCATAGTCTTTAGTGCTTAGTTTTATGAACATGTGAGAAGATTGGGTAAATCACTACATCTGCTCAGATTTCTGGTTTATTACTGTTTCTTTCTTGTTAAACATCCACACAATCAGCAGATCTTTTCCATCTTACTGTTATTTATAACTGTACAACTTTTATAATTAACCAGACACTGGCACTCAGTCTAGTCTACTGCGTTTGCTTTATGTCATCTAGATTTTGAGTTCTATAATCTTAACGGTCCTGTTTGAAGCACTTACTCAGCTTTGTTAACATTATGTGGAAAGCCTCACCATTAAAATCTTTATATGTTCCTAATTATTTCTTAATCTTGTTTCTCTATGCTAAATAATTATTCCCCTTCAGTTGTAAATAAAACTTTAACTAAATAGTGCTTAGAATTTAAAATAGAGATGTTTCTTAGGTCCAAGTTATCACGTTTTTAGTTTTTAAGAAATGAAAAAGTAAAATAACATAATTCCTTACATAGAATTTATAACTTTATAATTGAATTTGGTTTATGTTATTGTGTTACAAGATTAATATTATTGCCTTTCTTTTAATAGTATGCAGTTACATGTAAGCACAGATATCAGTAAAATACAATTTTCAGTCCAGTTGTTAGAAACTGATCTGTCAGGAAGTAAGTGAACCAGCTTTTGCTCAGCAGGATGTAGCTGTCCAAGTAAATAGAAAAGTTTTCTTTAACACAAAATTCAATTTAGTTGACTTGTAAAACTACTCTGTTAAATGGAAGAATAATGATAAAGTAAATACTTTTTACATTTAATAACTTCCTATTTCTTAGTAGAAATAATTTCTTAAACCTATTTTTAAACTTGTTAAATAGATTTTGAAATTAACTCTATTGTTTTTCTTTTCCAAATCAAACTAACGTCTATGTGGAAAAAGGGCTGTTTACAAATGAATTAGTTTCTCTATTCTGATCTTGAAAAATATCAACATAATTTTTTAACTTCAAGAGACCAAAAATTGAAATTGGTTATAATTCACAGAAATTTACCATTAGATTTCTTCAAATAATATACATATCATTTCCTCTACATACTTCTATTAAAATATGGTTGATTTTTATTGTTTGGGTAAACCAACTGTATGAATGCCCGTAGGAAATTGATAGTATGCTGTCAACATGAGTACGTAAGCGAGAGAATGTTAAACACTGCGAAAGAAAAGTAGTTGTTTAAATACAGGATAATTTAGACCACGTGAGTGAAATAGTATGGAAAGAATAAAAAGTATAAGAATGTGTGAATAGATAATGATGATACTAAAAAAAGATTTGGTAGTGATTTAATGCTTTCAGTTATATGTAAATTTGCAACCTGCTTTGTTGCTGAATCTGCCACTTAAATATAACAAATCCCAATAAATTATCATACAACTTTTTTATATTTAGAAAGGACCTCAGATATATTTGGTCAATTATTTTATAGATGAGGAAAGGGAGGACCAGAGTTCAAGGTCGCCCACAAGGTTAAGGANATGAGGAAAGGGAGGACCAGAGTTCAAGGTTGCCCACAAGGTTAATTGCAGAGCCTTTGGGTTAAGGATTATAATATACACCTGTCTGTTTAGTACCCAGCATTTCCCTGGGCACTTAAACGATGGTCAGTAAATACTTGTTGGCTAATACACACAGGCCAGTGCACTTTGTGAGGTTTGCCTATTGTTTTTCAAACCATACCTAGGAATTTAGATCAGTTGTAGAGGCTATCATATTTTCTGCAAAATGGATTTTTAACTATATTTTATGTTTGTTTTCACAAAATAACAACTATTGAAAATTGTTAACATTTATTTTGTCCATGTGGCTGGAAAAAAGAGTCCTGATAGTTAACAAAAAGAAGGTGAAAGAACACCAAGTCTGCTTGTAGCCTTCAACGAAATTTAGTCTACTCATCTATAAAAAAAAAGTTGGATGAGTTCATCTCTAACATTTATTTTTAAACTTAAAGAAAATAGCTTCTCAACAATAACAGAAAATCAAATAACCCAATTTTAAAACGGGCAAAGGACTTGAATAGGCATTTCTCCAAAGATGATATACAATTGGCCATTTGTATATCATTTTTGGAGTAGTCATATACACATGAAAAGATGCTCAACATCACTAAACATCAGAGAATTACAAATTAAAACCACAATTTGATATCATTTCATACCTATTAGGATGGTTACTGTAAAAAAAACCCCCCANCACAATTTGATATCATTTCATACCTATTAGGATGGTTACTGTAAAAAAAAAAACCCAAATTTTAAGTATTGATGAAGATGTGGAGAAATTGAAACTCTTATGCACTGTTGGTGAGATTGTAAAATGATTTACTTGCTATGGAAAACAGCATAGTGGTTCCTTAAATATTAAAAATAGAACTACCACATAATCCAGCAATCCCATTTCTGGGTCCATATCCAAAAGAATTGAAAGCAGGATCTTACAGAGATATCTGTGCTCCCATATTTATTGCAGCATTATTCACACGGGCCAAGAGGTGGAAGCAACTCAAATGTCCACTGAAAGATGAATGGATAAAAAAAGAAAAAGCAGTACACATGTACAATGGAATATCATTCAGCCTTAAAAAGAGAGGAAGTCCTGGTACATGCTACAGCATGGATGAACCTTGAGGACATTATGCCAGACACAAAAAGACAAATACTGTATGAGTCCACTTGCACGAGGTCTCTAAAGTAGTCAAATTCACAGAAACAGAAAGAATGGTGGTTGTCAAGACCTGAGGGGAGGGGAGAAAGGGGACTTGATGTTTAATGAGTACAGAGTTTCAGTTTTGCAGGATGAAAAAGTTCTAAAGATCTGTTGTGCAGCACTGTGAATACAGGGTGCTGCACAAGTAGGTTTACAGTTGTGAGTCCACAAAACACAGTTTATTCTTGTATTATTATTTATTAATATTGTATTATTTTTCACACAGCTATAAACCTACCTTTGCCCACTCCTGTATACTTAATACTACTGAGCTACACACTTAAAAATGGTTAAGATGATGCATTTTATGTCATGACTTTTTTTACTATAGTTTAAAATATTTTCTTAAAGTAGCTGATTTTTTATTGTTAAAGAATAAACCTTTAATTCATTCCTTTCCTGAAATGTTAATAACTATGTAATGTTACCATATTTTATTATACCCTATATATCCATATTGGCAGGCCTAAACACCTTAAGCTTATGGAATGAACTTGTAAACCTGATAAAATTATTATTTTTTAAATCATTTTTTTCTGCTATTTGAAAAAAGCCTGCCATTGTATACTCTAAGGGTGGGACCATTAGCGCACCAATGAAAGGGCAGTGTTTCATGTAGCGCAGGATGGACACCTTTACTAGCAGACTAAAAAGCTCGTCTCCCAGCTCCCTGAGGTTCTCTTTCTTCTGTTTTCTTTTTTTCCCTCTCTTCCCCTCCTCTCCTCTCCCCTCCCCTCCCTTACCTTCTTTCTCATTTTTTTCTTGCCTTACCTTTTTCCTTTCCTCCCCCTCCCTCCCCCTCCCCTT